GAGGGAATAAAGGTAACATATCAAGGAGAGGTGTACAATGTGATAAGGGTGACATATCAAGGAGAGGTGTACCATGGGATAAGTGTGGCATATCAAGGAAAGATGTACCTTTGGATAAGGGTGGCAACTATGCAATCTGAGTTTTGATCATACATTTTGTTACTATATCCATGAGATGCAATAATCTTGAGTTATCACTTCTGTCTGATGTGAGGACTTGGAATTATTGCTTTTATTGACATAATAATAATGTTGTTATGAAGAGAAGGAAAATTGTTGATAATCAGAGAGGCTTTGATTGCTTGTATTTTGAGTTAACAATGTTTTTGGGTTGATCTGGATATTATTCTTCAAGTTGTTCAATTAAGTAAAGGTTGATGAGAAACCAGAGGGGCTCTGGTTGGTCTTCAAGACTAACCAGAAGGCCTCTGGTTGTAAGGAACAATTCTAAGTTCAAATATTTTATACTTTGACCCAGAGGCTCTATATCTACTATACAGAGGCTCTGTATCTTGGAATTGAATGTTAAGTCCAAGCTCTGTATCCAAGCTCTGTATCCAAGTTCTGTATCTAAAACCTTTTGGACTTGAATCATTTTCAACTTTGTTTCTTTATGGGCTCTTAGAACCTAGAGCATAGTTCAACCAAAAGGGGCTTTAGAGGACCTCTGGTTGGCTTGGTCTCTAGGCGAATTATTTATCTGATAAAGTCCTTGAGAAAATATTCTAACCTTTGATAGAGGACCAGAGAGGCTCTGGTTGACCTTTATATTTAACTAGAGAGCCTCTGGTTATCTTTAAAATTTATTTATTTTTATCTCAATTTCTTATTTTCCATAAGGTTTAGTTTAGACGGACCAGACACTCTGGTCGTCTAGAGGGCCTCTGGTTTATAATATATCCTTAGTTGTTTTTAAAAGTTGGAGACCAGAAGCTTTGGTTGGTAAGACTAGAGGCTCTGGGGTCTGGTTGGCTTAACTTTGGATTTCTTTATACTGAGTTAAGTGACCAAAGGAGCTCTGGTTGATTATAGTATGTGTTTATATTATCATCAAGAATGATCTAGACTTCATAATTACGTCTTCAGTGACTTTGTTTTGTTTGGCTTTGCTCTGGCTTAAGAGCCAGAGGATCTCTGGTCCTTAAGAGCTTCCTCTGGGTAATTTCAGACAGAATGATGCATGGACCGGAGTGGTCACATTCCATGTGCAGCAAGGAAAATTTATAACTCACAGTTGTTTGCAATATTTGAGTTATACTTTTATAAAAAGTTGTTAGATATTTGTAAAATTACAAATATGATTTTATAACAGGTTTTTGTGATTTTCACCCCGTAATTTCATAAAAAGGGATTTCTCACTAGACCTCAAGGTCTAACCCTCATTTTGTATTTAATAAGTGCATTGCAGGTCAGTCGTTGTCAAAAGATAAGGGAAAGGGAGAATTGTGAATTTTCCTTTCATGCTTGCATGAGTTTTGATAAAGAACTTGTTATTTGTTGAGCTTTGGGAAATTTGTTTCATATGCAAATTATGTACAAGAATATTATTAAAAAAAAATTGGTTGTAAAGTTTTGTAATATAACTTCTTGTACTGTTGGGACCGAATGTGTATTATTTGTATCTCTTGATATATGAAATACATGGTTATATCAAATGTGGATCTTGGGGTATTACAATTCTGGTCGATGCCTCTAAAATCATATCAATCTCATTCATGTAAAGATTCGCCACAAGGTTCTGAATCCCTTCAATAGAGTTTGCAACAGGTGGTCCAAACTTCCTTTGCTTGAACTCACAATCATAGTGTTCCATCTCTCGAGCGTGACACTTTCCGACCCTCTTAAAATGTTGCCCTAGATTGGGTTGATTACCTGATCTCTTGAAACTTTTCTCTTGTGGACTCAAGTTCCACTTTTTGTTTGGACCTCTAGTCCTTCCCTTTCCTTTTCCTACAGCCTGCACGTTGTTAACACTCAACATATACTTGCCTCTCTTGTCCCGATTACGTGCCTCTTATTGATTCGTAAATGTTTTAATAAATCATCCAAAGAATAATCTTCAAATTTGTGCATCATTCTTTTTGAAAAGTCTTTCCTAAATGGGAGCAATTTATTTATGACTTTCCCACTTGGAAAATTTCAAGAATAGATATGGAAAGATATTTTAATTTATTTACTAAAAACTTGGAGTTCATGCATTTGCTCTAGATTTGGTTTATCATCAACCATTTGAAATCTCAAGTATTGAGACACAAGATACTTGTTTGTACCATCTTCTTGTGATTTGTACTTGAATCTCAAGGCTTTCCAAAGTTCTATTGGGCAAGTAATTGAAGAGAATAGATCAAACAGCCGATCAGACAAGGCATTCTTTATGTGTTCGCAGGCCAAGGTTTCTTCCTCCTAGCGGATTAGCCTCTTCTTCTCAAGTTTGGCTATCATCTTTTTATTCGGTTCTTTTTCCGGTTCAGGAACAGGATTTTCAATGAGAGGGAGGTCTGGGTCCAAAATATAATAAATTTTCACTACCATTAGCATGAATTTCACCTTGTCGGCCCAACGGACATTACTAGCCCCATCGAACTTTTAAAGTTTCCTCATGTCGTAGTTCAAGATATGGTAATTTCCGGAATCCATGTATAAAAACCTTAAGAATGCTGAGAAAATTAAGATTGTATTAGTAAAAATTTCAATAAAGTTCGAACCTTTATAATTAAAGTTTGAAATTGTATCGATGAATATGGAAACTTATTAAATCGAATATTTATTTAATCAAGATGGTGTTACAGAATCTAGAATGTTGGAAACCCAAACCGATTGATATCACAAAGATTGAAAACTATCCTTTGCGATATAATCAGTAAAAGTAAGGGGTATAAACAGACTAGCTTGTTCACTTAGACTGCGTTTGGTACATGGGATGGAACAAAACTCACCATCCTCTGTTTCGCACAACATGGGATAGAACAAGAACTCAATATCTCACGCTTGGCGCGACATGAGACATGGACAAGAACTAGGACTAGGTGCAACAACATGGAACAAAAAAGGTTTTTTCTTGTTGCACCAAAATAGGCGGAACAAGATGGAAAGAGAACGAGACAGAAACTAAAATATTACTAATCTACCCTAGTTTGATATATAACCTTAATATGACATTTGTTTTAATGGTCATCACTGCTAGTTTCGGCCACCGCCACCACCGGCAATCATCGTCGGCCACCTCCACCTCCTCTTCCACTACAACAACATCCTCCATCGCCTCCACAATCACCGTCCATCGCCACCTTTACCACATTCGAACACCGATCATCATTGTATATTACCACCAACACTACCACCGCTGGCCACCTCCAATTCCTCCTCTACCGTAACAACCTCCTCCATGACCTCCACAACCATTGTCGGCCACCACCACCTCTACCATAACCACTACTACGTCCACCACCAGTACTACTACCATTGATTATATCAAAATATTCATTCAAATTTGGTACCATTATGTATGTATGTATGTATTTATTTATTTATATGAAAAATGTGTAAAAATATTTATAAATTGCATTCTTTAATTATTTTACTTTATTTGTGTTAAGTATAACTATTATATAATATTTAAAATCATTAAATAACTTTTGTAGGCAACTTGTCTAATCCAGTCCTAGTCGTACCAAACACCAGACATACACTTGTCATGTCCGGTCATATCCCGTCCAGTCCTGTCCTACCCTCTTATCATGTCCAGTCCTTTCCAGTTCTGTCATGTCTAGACTTGTCCAGTCCTGTCTAATCATATCTACCTACTAAATGCTACCTTAGTGAACGAAAAGTAAATTGCAAGACACCAATTAAAAACCAACCTTTTATGTCGTCAAGAAGCGAGTCAATATGCACGATATGAACCTATCTTTAAGGTTTTATACAACCATCCTATTAAGTTGTGAGTCTTCTAGTTGCAAAGCCCCAAGATTTGATGGAGTCCTATTTCGTTTATCAACAACTTATTATAACGAAATTATAAACAAAGTTGATGCAAAAATTATTTAGGAAGAAAATAGCACTATGTGATACGAAGCAGAAAATTGAGAGAGGAGAGAATTGCAGTTTTCAAGTGTGTTTAAAGAGGTTTAACCCAATATAAATTCTCATTAAACTCTCAAATTCGTGGCTTCTTCCCAAAGAATAGGGAAGAGATTGGAGACTAAAGTCTCAACCATATCCAACACCTTTTTATCAATCTAAAATATTTTCGGAAATTGAAATAAGATAAATCTGTAAAATCCGAAATTAATTCTCTCGATAATTTGTACTGAAAAGATATTTGAGTGCAAAGTGCGCGTATCCTCATGTGCCACTTCCATGGCCGAGAAAGATATTTGAGTGCAAAGTGTGCGTATCCTCATGCCACTTCCGCGGCCACACGCATGTGTGTTGGACCTTTCATTCATGACCCCCACCATAATCCCACTAACATGATCAAAACCCAACTAATGTAAAAGCCTTATATAGCTCTTTAGGTTTTATGTTCCTTCCTATGGGGATGGAGGAAACACAATAATTTCCAACAATATAAGCATATAAGATCATAGATGCTCTTATACCTAATAAGAACCAAGAACTATGAATACAAAAAAAACACACACACACATTAATTAAAGATCCCATTAGATCTCAACTATTCTATGTGAGAACATGAAAACATGAAGGAGATATATAGGAATGAATGAGCTTATAACATCCCAAACACTCTCTCATGGCCCAAAAAAGCACAGAATTGTTTTCTATGCAGTTTTTTAGACATTGATGCTTAAACTGAAAAGAAAGCATGTCAGTTGTCGAACATAAGAAAGATAAAAGACCAAAAGGAAAACACCATTTTGTGTTCCTGTGAGTATATGATTAATAAAAGGAAAAAGGATCCATACTGTAGTTTGCAACAAAGAAACCTTTCATATACCAAAATCAAAACTCCAAAATTCCTCAAGAAACGGTTTAGAGGTCTAAACCGAAGGACCAGAAAAGGAGCTCACCGTTGAGGCTGAGGACATCGAAGAACTCGAAGGTGATGCCACACAACCATTTTTGTCGAAATTTTGCTCGCTGAAAATGGAGTCGATGTTGGCCTCAAAGCCATCATCATAAAAGAAGTCCAAGGGCATACCTTCGCCATACTCGTCAAATGAATTAGGGGAAAAAGAAAATGGATCATAACATACGTCCCAACAGAAGCTCCAAGGGTCTTCTTCATCTTGAACCGAAGATGTGAAATTGAGATTTGGATTCACAGGTTCTGCAATTTCTTCTAGTTGTTCTGCAATTTCTTGGTGAGGTTCCGCAACATCTTCTAGTTGTTCCGCAACATCTTCTAGTTGTTCCGCAACATCTTCTAGTTGTTCCGCAATTTCTTGAGGTTCTGCAATTTCTAATTGTTGTTCATATTTTTCGCCATCATGATTGTTGTCATTCACCTCATCATTTGATATTGCTTCTGCTTGAGGGGAATCATCAGGTTGTTGAGTAGGCAAACTCTCCAAGTAATCTGAATAAATGCTAATATCAAAGTTAGTAACCGCGTTCTCTTTCCGATGCAGTATGGCTGCTAAGTCATATGCTCTAGCCGCTTCCTCTTCGGTGGCTGAAAGTATCAATGAACATAACTTCAGAAGACATATTTATACGTTATGGTTTGAAATTAAAATGTCAAATCCTCCACCCCAAAAAAAACTAATGTGACAGGTGAAAGTTGATGTGTTTTTGGACGAATGCGACTCGAAATAGGCATCTTTCCAGCTATGGATCTCTTAATAGACATTTTCTAAACCGTAAACATGAAAACCTATATATTATATGGTTTTTATACGGTTTTAATGATAAACCTATTATAACATAAGCTCAGTTTTATGCTACGTACATAATAAATAGTAATATAAATCACTTGTAACCACGATTTAATCATGTATCATCCTTCTATCTATAGATCATTCAACATATTTTTTTTAAATTACCAATATATCTAAGAGTTGTTAATCTACAGTTTTTGTATTGGTTTGATTTGTGTATTTAAATGAATTTGATAAATAGACTGGGAATCAAGTGAGAACGGTCTGTTTTTGTGAAACTCATGAGACCACTTTTTTACACTTGAAACTTCACAGCAAAACGCTATAAAAGGTAACTTTCACAGTGTTTTTGCTCTGAATGTTCGAATTTTTTTTTTTACCTTTACAGCATTTTGCTGTGAAGTTTCAAGTATAAAAAATTGGTCTCACGAAAGCAGTCTGATCTTATGTGAACTCAACCTTTGATAAATAATCTAAACTTACATAAGAGAAAATGATAAATATATAACTTATTTATTTAATAAATAATTATACAAATGCAATTACTTAGGTAAACTTAAATTTATTAAATTACAATTTTTTTATCAATTTTAATTTATATATTTTATAGATTAATTAAAACAAAATAAATAGTCAAAAATGAAGTACAAAAATTTAGACAAAAATGGGTTCTTGATAAAAGCAGCTAGGTTTGTATAAGAATATGTGAGTAGACAACATCCCACAATGAAGAATCTTATAAAAACTTAAATAACAAATTTTACAACCTCCTCTATTGTGGATGTTAACAAAAACATTGTTAGCTTCTACCCATTGTTGATTTTAGAAAGAAAATAAACATAGCCATGTTGTTATTTTTATTTACTTTTACTGTACACATTCTCTCTCTCTCTCTTTCTAGATCTCTCTCTATATATAGAGAGAGAGAGAGAAAAAAAAAAGATAAAATGTAAAACAAACTATTTGTACAAAACATGAAAACCGTCGATTTCATTGTTTATTTTAATAAAAAAAATTCATGAAATTGCAAATATGATGAAATTATTTCAAATAATTTATTTTTTTGATGAAAATGTTTCATATATTGTTGTTTCTATGTAAAAATTCAGTTGTTTCATATATTTCTCGATTTTGATGAAATTTGTTTAATAAAATTAATAGAATGAAGATGATAATGTCTAAAATTATTTGAAATGAATTATTTAAAACAATTTCATTATATTAAACAATTTCATGAAAAATTTTATTAAAATAAACGATGGAATCGAAGGTTTTCACTGTTTGTACAAATGACTTAGTTTACAAAATATCCCTCCTCTATATATATATATATATATATATATATTATATATATATATATGTATGTATATATATATATATATATATATTGAGAGACTCAAATAAGAAAGCTAACTTGTAAGTGGTAAGAAATGAATGTACATATGTGAACCATTAATGAAATCTATTTGAAGATGCATATGTGAGCCCATATGAATAATCTGTAAAGTTAGTTCACGTATGCATCTTAAAAATAACTTTTTTAGTAATTCACATATTAATCTTTGCTTCTTACGTTCTCATGATATTTAACCGTCTTTTATGAATCTATGTATATATATACATACACATATGTATGTATGTGTGTGCGCATGTGTATTAGGTTGGTTTTCGGTGAGAATAAGAGTTACGATGAGAAACACTCATATACATTTATATATTTTTATCTACAGTTATCTACCTTTGTTTACCTATATTTATCATCATGACCAGAACTTTATCACTTTCATAACCAAAACTTTAACAAATTCATACATATGAAAGTGATAAAGTTCATGCATAAAAACGTGATTAAATGTACATATATAAAAGTTAATGAAAGTGACTTAAAAGTGAAGATAAATTTGAAGAAAAAAAGTAGATTAATGTAGTCGAATTAAATGAGTGTAATTGAAGGTGTTGAAAATAGTTGAAGAAAATTAAATAAGTTTAAAAGGGTCAACATATCCAAAATTTCGTAAGTGTTCTCACCTCCTCATCATAATTGTTATTATCACACGATACCTCATCTATCTATCTATATATATATATATATATATATATATATATATAACTAACACACTTTTAAATACAGTATAAACTTTAACTCATATAAGTATAATATGTGAGAGCATGTGCTAAATAATCTATGCACACACAAAAAGGAATAAACATATGTTATAATTTTCTTTATCATTTTTCTTGTCCTTTTGGTAAAATGAGATCTAGCAGGCTAAAAAGCAAAATAAGTGTCACATCAGCATATGCCACCTCACCATCAAAAGAGTATTTGCCTTTTGTTAGGACACATGATTATGAATTCTCAATTTCACCCCCTCATTTATGTGATCAAGTTTTTAGTAGCACTCCCTTAAGCCTAAATTCTTGATATATGCGCAGTGTACATATACGAGTGCATAATGTACAAATGACTACAACATAATGTGTTTGCATATCTTGTTCCGGTAAAAAAAGGGTTTAAAAAGTTGTACGTACCGAATGTCCCCAAGTATATGTATCTGTTTCCATCGACTCGTCCAATCCGAGCCTCCCATCTTCCATTGTGATGATGCCTACGAAAATCAGTGAGGGTTAGTTTGCATTTTCTAAATACTCAAGTGTGGTTCATCAAAACAATTTCGATACATTAATTATAGGTCTTGAACTACTTATACTTTAGCCAAAAACAAATTATTTGCATTGTCATATATTCCAGCATTTTATGGATTATTTTATCTGATTTCGCATAATGCAGTAAGCATATTTTCGACTAACATATGTTCAGAAACAAACATTCATGTATTAGGAAAACCGCAGGACTAAGCCACAAACTAGTCCGACATAGTTCCAAACTTTCACTTATGACCTTTTACTTCGCCTGAATTGCAAAATAGCCCTTCATAGAGGTTTTGTTGCTACGAGTGTTGGCAATTCAACTTAGACGGTTTAACCACTCAAACCAAACCAAGCTGCAATGGCGGTTTTGAAATATTTTAAAACCAAACGGTTTTGGCAGTAAGTGATCAAATAAGCCAAACCGGACCACAAAAAGGCGGTCTAGTCTAGCCGGTTTAGATGGTTCGGGCCGATTATTGGATTTAAACTAAAAGAAACATAACATCTATTTCCAAAACGAACTTTTAACCATATAACATTACTAAAAATAATATTATACCGAATTATAGAGAAAACATCTATCTCCAAAATTAAAAAAAAGTTAACCAAATCCACCAACAATAGATGGAATTTTGAACGAACGTTAAAACAACTAAAAGAACAATTTGGAATGGACGATTAGATCGGAACAGATCCACTTTAATCTATTATTGGATTTTAGCCGATAAACATCCCTATCGAACATGAATCTTTCAATTTTGGAACCATAAATAACTAATTCAACGCTTAAAAAATCAAATGTCACGAATTCTTGAAATAACGATTAAAACAACTGGAAATCATTTTATATGAAATATAATTCAAGGACCCACACCCGCCCATATATTATTCACATGTAACATGCCCAAAAAATATAACTATAAACAATAAAATTGATGCTCAGCATAGCATTCTTCAATAAACTCTTATAAGTTATTCGATCCCCATGGATTATTATATATTTATTTTATTTTTTGAATAATTAGGTTATTTATTGACACATCCAAAAAATAATTTTATATTAAATTATTTGTAAATAATGCATTAGAAGTAAGTATGTTTTCTTATGTTAGGTGAACTTTGATTTAGACCGACAAAATCGGATTGGGATCGGACCCGAGCGAACTGAAATGGGCAATGTTAGGTTTGTTTCTCGATACATAAATTTGTTTTCGACTCTATTCAAACCCTAAAACGAATAGGTTTTGTTTCTCGAGTTAAGATATTTTTCTAAAAATTTGTCTTCCATTCTATTTAAACCCTAAAACGAATTGGTTTTTATGTATATAATTCAAACTTAAAAAGACCCTATTTTAGGTAACTTACATCAAAATAGAATGTACTTTGTACCGATTTCTATTACTGAGAACCTATAAGAAAATTCTGTTTGGATGTCTGTGACAGATCGCTTGAAACAAGAAATCTTAATAAACTTCAAAAATAATTTTATTTTTGACAAAGTTAATCAATTTTTTTTTGATTAACCTGGATATCCAACCCGCTATGCGAGCCGACTAAACCTGGCCACAACGGGATTTTTATTACTTCTTGGATTTGAATAAGCTCAATTTTTTGTTCACATAGTTAAAGTATGTATCCTTTTGATATATTTTGTCCATTTTTTTTCAAATTAAAAGAAAAAAAATATTTATTTGAGTTACTTTATATCAATTTCAGTTCCATTATTTTATGTCCATGTCCCCTTTTAATCTACAAAATAGGGCTAGTAGTTGTATTGTAATATCTTACTTTATATTTATAACTAAAGAAATCATAATTTTAAATTACCCATGTTTTAACAACAAATAATGAAAAGAAAACTAAAGTACGGGAAATGGATGTACCTTGCTACACCTCGGTACTTTGAAACGCCTCTTGAAAATCCGCTACTCTTCCTTCTTAACGAAGCAATGTATTCTTCCTTCGACATTTTCTCTATTTCGTTCATTTCGTTTTTGTACGTATCAATCTACATCATGATAGTTACAAGCGCATTGAATAATTGGCATACATACATATACATATACATATACACAGAGAGAGGTCCAAATGAGAAAGACATAAAGTTTGAGAACATCGTCTTAATAAATTATTAGCATGTGAATCGTTTGTAAAAGGAAATGTGGGTTCACAAATGCATTTTCATAGAATAATTGGTAAAATTAAGTAGGTAACCAAACATCCGTTCACTTATACATCTTCAAATGGTTATTTTGTAGGTTTACGTTCTCAACCTTTTTCATTTGAACTATTATTTTTTGTTCACCTATATATAGAATATATGATTAGATTCCAATGAGAATGAAAGTTATTGTAAGAATGGTAAGAATGGATCTCTACCCTTGGATCAATCTTAATTGAAGATCAACAATAATGAGATACATCGAGATGCACTAGATCAATTCTCGTGACGAGCGCAATTAATGAGGTGGAGGTGAGATGAAAAGTGATCAAGGATCCAAATCATTCTTACGTTTATTACTTTAACTCTTATTCTCATATGATCGTTTGTCTATATATAAGTGTCTGTTGTGTATGGGAAAAAAAAAAGACAACTTTCAAGATAAATTGGGGAATTTTATCTTTTAAATTAAAAAAGCAATTTGATCTTTAAGAAACCAAATAAGGGCCAAATGTGAAATTTGGTTTCGAAAATTAACATATCAGATTTTTCAAAATCCAATACAAACATCGGTTACAGATCAAAATCGAGGAATTAATGTGAAAACTAGATTGGATCGACACAATCTATGGTATTATTCGCAATATTAGGTCCTATGAGATAGGACCAATTCGTTTTTTTTGGTAATGTACAACTTTTAATGCATAAGGTATGTATTTTTATAATTGTGGCAACAGACATTGGCATTTTGCTAAATGATATACCACCTAAAAAGTACATTTTTTTCATTTTAGATAGTTTCATGGGGTTATTCTATGCCTCATAAACACATTGAGATCCTAGATAGCTCAACTTGTAAAATCTTGATTTTGTTCCTTAGATTCATAAGCAAATAATGGTTTGCATAGACACATGCGTCAGTGGAGTCAACTATTTTATCGAATTCAGGAGGTTGAGCTTCGAAAAAGGGGCTAGATTCATAGATCGACCAATCAGTATGAATTATTGCTTTGCATTTGATCATTTATCCCTAAAAATAATTTAAGACCGTAAAAAGTGGATACCGGAAAATTAAGGGTCGTTTCAGGTCCCCAATATTTCAGAGCAGCAAGATCATATGTGCGGGCAGCGGCCTCTTCATCGTCATATGCCCCTGCATCAACACACGTCATAGATTCAAAACAATGTACAACTTTTATAACATAAAAGTACTTTATATCAATTCAGAATGAAGAATATAACACAAGATACTTATATCAGATTTTTCTCAAAATTTAATCGATAATTGAAAACAATGTACAACTTTTATTGCAAAAGATACGAGTTATGATTCATTGTAAAATTATTGCATTAATATATATATATATATATATATATGTGTGTGTGTGTGTGTGTGTATGTGTGTGGAGATTCAAACGAGAACACCTCTATTTTTATGAGAACGCAAGAACATCCTTATCACATGTGATAATACACTTGAAAGGACTTGGTGCTGTATGAATGTCGTGCCTTGCGACTTAAGTCGCACCAAAGGTTGTCTGCTTCTATGATTTAGTATCACATGTAATGGTCTTGATGGATTATAGTATCACATTAATAACACATTTATCACATGTTATAGTACATGTGGGGGGCTTAGTTGTGTAAAGGCGACTTGGCCTACAACCTAGATCGCATCAAAAGTCGTCCACGTCTATGATTTAGTGTCACATGTGTATCATATGTATTGGAATAATAGTATCACATGTGATTGTTTATACTAAAAGGGTGTTCTCACGTTCTTGTAAAATGAAAGTGTTCTCGTTTGAATATTTCCCTATATATATGTGTGTATGTGTGTGTGTATATATATATATATATATATATATATATATATTATGTTATACACTTTATAGAGTTCTCAAAACAAGACCCCTATGCACACAAATATAATATATATTTATATATATTATATCATATATAACAAAACGCAACTAACAATTAAAGTGTACAACTACTAAATGCACTAAGCACAAGCCTAAAAGCACATAATCTTAGACTTAGCCTTAATTTATTAAATTGGAAAATATATTTTATACACACGCATTGACTTATCTCTTGACCACTTGTATTATACAAAAGTCCAAAATCAAGGTCAGTATAAAACATACAACTCATAATATAAATAAGCCTTTGGACAATTATGCCCATGAATAAATACAAACTAAAAACACACAACAACTTAAATTTAAAAAAGCTAAAGGGTAATTTAGTAACACTAATTTTCTTAAAACAATTTCAATAAGTTTAATCAATATATCGTAATAATACGTAGGGATGGATCCTGAAAAAAAGATTCAGTTGCGGTGTCAAATAAATACCGTAATATAAAATAAAATTTTAATTTAAATGGAATTTATTAGTGTTGGTTTGTGCAACCATTTCAGCGATGAAATATGCTCGGAATGTATAACTGATACATATTGCCCATATAAAATTAAAAAAAATACAACGATATCATTTTAAATTACCTACGAATTTATACTGAAAATAATATTCATTAGAAGTAGGGTCTAAAAGATACGTATGTGAACTTGTCATTTACTTGAGAAAAGATATAATGTCTGTTTCCATGAAAACAATAATACCATCAGAAAATTCAAAAAATTATACTTCCAAATAATTTTAATAATTAATATTTTGAAAATATTTGCTTTTCAGGCAAGAGTGTGTGTGCATATATATATATATATATATATATATATATTAATAATAAACGTGAGAAATGAATATTAAAAATACGAATATAAAAAATATTAATAGGGATTGAAGTGGAATATAAGTTTGGAAAAAGGGTATCCATAAAAACATATTTAACATAAAAAAAAAGGTGTTTCTGGCATGTAGCTTAATTAGTAAAGTGGGGGAACAACTTAATTAGTAAAATGGCGGAACGGCTTTGGCTAATAAAAGACAACGTCTGCCCCTGTTAGCCTCAATCGCTGAATGAGCTAAAAAGTGCCCTTGATATCGGTGATTTTGAAGACCAGTTTCGTGTTCGTGTGGGACTGTTTGTAATCGTCACTAATCAACATTTTTATTCAAGCATAAAAAAAGTTGTAAAGATTAAAATGGTATTTTATTCAATAAGAAAAGATATCTACAATAAATATAAAAATGAATATTAAAATAAACACATTGATTTATAAAAAATAATAAAATAAATATTTTAACAAAACGACCGTTCTCGTTAAATGTCTACTGCATATTGGACATTGATGAAAATAAATTGATAAAATTAAATCAAAATTAAAACATTAAAAAAATAAGAGAGAGAGAGAGAGAGAGAGATTACCCAAATAAACTTCATTAGCAGCAATGGAGAAACAGGGGATGACACCCAAAAATCAAAACATAACAGAGTCAGAAAATGTAATAATTAATTAAATTTAATATATATAGAGAGAAAGGGTGAGTTTCACGTGAGACAAGGTTGTTTTCGTGAAACATATGACATATGATTTTTATACTTGAAACTTCACAGCAAAATGTTATAAAGGTAAAAAAAGCCGAATCCTCACAATTACCTTCACAATATTTTGCTTTGAAGTTTCCTGTGTTAAAATTATGTCTTACATGTCTTACAAAAACAACTTTGTCTCACATGATCATATATATATATATATATATATATATATATATATAGGGGCCTATTCAAGGGAGAACTGAGTTGTTTGTGGTAACTGTGAGAACCAATCTCAACCAATCATTTTTAAATATTAATTATACAATTAAAATCAAATTAAAAGGGTATGTTAGTCAATTCCTAATTTAAAATTAAATTT